TCTCCTGGCCCCTGCGCATCCCTTACACCCTTCAAAAAGGCCTCAGGTCACCGCGCCAGTTTCCCTTTGACTCTGGTACCAAGTCATTATCAACGGAGAACCTTAGTGGTCTCTAGATTTACAGCCCGACTCTTCTAGGTGAGGGTCCCCTCAGTCTTCTCACGTCACTGACCCTCCAGACAGACAGCTCAGAGGAAACTTTACTCGGCCTTCAGGCATTTGTCTGCCGGTGGCGATACAGTGAAGAGAAACCCTTCAGGCACGGGTTGCTCATTAGACATTCCCTTCCCTCCAAGGTGAACGAGAGCAGTAAGTGAGCGACGGGCCAGAGGAATGCTGGCCCAGCTCCAGGTAGCGGTGGCAGAGAAAAGTAGGAGAGAAGATGGCACCCTGAGGAAGGTTCCTTTGCTCAGAGTTGGAAAAATGACTGGGAGAGGCCTAAGTCCATTGTTCCTAAGTAACAGACTCTCCAAGTTGAGAGGAAGCTTGGAGACTAATCAACTGGCCATTGTGGACATGAGGGGCTCGTGGCTCTCAGAAGTTAGTGACCTAAGGTTTTCTGTCGGCGCATGCAGCTGTGTGATGAAAATATAGGTTTCTTTCCTAGCAGCCACTGTCGCTCTCAAAAATAGTCTCACTCAAGAATAACAACAACAAACAAGAAACACTGCTGGGGAGTCAATGTCTACTCCTAGCGACCCTATAGGACAGGGGTAGCGCTGTCTCGGGGTTTCTGGGACTGTAACTCTTTACAGAAGTAGAAAGCTCATCTTTCTCCCTCTCAAAGATGGTGGAGTGACATAATCGATCTTGTTTCTCGAGGGCTAAACTCATAACCTTGGCACTTTGGGGAAAGGCATGCATGTGTTCAGATAACTGGAAAGCGATAAATTGTACTGATAGAGAATCTTTCCTACCATCCCCCAAGTCTGGACACTAATTTGAGATGATTTGGGTGTCTCTCATCATGGCTAAGGAGAAAGAGGAGGTTTTCTACTCCATAAAGATTCACTGCAGTCCCAGAAACCCACAGGGGCAGTTCTGCTCAGTCCGACAAGAGGCAGAAACAACTTAATGGCATGAGTTTGGTTGGCAGCATGATTTTTATCATGGCTGTGAACCTTGACTTGGTCCGACGCCTGTCAACCTGAACATCTGAGGTTGGCCAGTTGCTTTCCCCTAATTCAGTCCTTTCTCGAAACCCTTCTGGGACTTGAGGGCCTTCAGGACCCTGCCAAGGAGCCCTCGTGGTGTAGTTGTTACGAGTTGGGCTGAGAACCATAGGTCAGCAGTTCAAAACCACCAGCCACTCTGTGGGAGAAAGATGAGGCTCTCTGCTCCCATAAAGAGTTACATTCTCGGAAAAGGACAGGGCAAGGACCTCCTGATTTCTGCCATCTCGCTGGCTTCTTTCATCCTCCCTTTCAGGTGTCAACCGCCGCATTTAGGGCACTTGTGGCAGGAGTGGGAAGCCTCATCAACAGAACAGACCTTCTCTTGGTGCCCTTTGGAGCTTCTTTCTATGGGATTCTCACCGGGCTGTTCTTGTCAGGGCTCACTCAGCCCCTTCTCCTCCACCCTAACCCCAACCCCAACCCTAACCCTAAACCCTACCAGCGTGTTTGCCTGGTAGCAGTAAACATCCCTGCCCCACAGGCCAGGATCACGCTGCAAGCTCAGAAATAGAGCAGTGTTTTTGCACCATAACGGTGGATTTTCTTTCAGGAAAACTAGGCATTGGGAAGCTCATTTCAAATGCAATATTGACAAGAACCCCAATATATAAACCAGCTTACCGTGGAGCCACTTAACACTTGAAGGAGACAGAGCAGAGGGTCCCAGAGCCCATATGCTCTCCTGATCTCCCTCCCACCTCCATCCACAGTAACCCCACAGGCATCTCTGCAAATTAAGGGCTCATGAGGCACGGGTCGAAAATGCAGCCTGCACAATACTATCACCGATTTACACTCAGCTGTTTCCCCAAACCCCCTGCCGTCGAGTGCACCCCGACTCACAGCAACCCTATAGAGGATTTCCAAGACTGCAAATCTCTACAAGAGTAGACAGCCTCATCTTTCTCCAAAGGAGCGACTGGGAAACTCGAACCACCGACCTTGCAGTCCGGTGCCTAACATTTGGTGGCACCAGGACTCACTAAATTATATAGAGCAGTGCTTCCATCAATACAACCTTGACCAACCAACAGCGTGGTGATAAGGGGAAGTAAAGTTTCAACAACCTTTCTCTTCCTGATTTTGTTAGCGTGGGTGCACGTGTGTTAGATCCAGCCTAGACTGAAGGTTTAACTCCTCCAGGCATGGTGCTATAAGCTTTACAGGCACTATCTCTTTCAGGCCCCACACCAAATAAGAGAGCCTGTAACACGACTTCATCACACCCAGATCTGGTTTAGCCTCTACTCAGCCATCCAGTTACCATGAAAATGGAAATCGGCAGGTCCAGGGAAAGCTGACTCAGTTCCTTGACAAAGGCTAGACTAGACTTGGTGCCCAGGCACCATGTTCCTCGTGAAGCATTTTCCAGTATAGAAAGGCGTGTGACGCACAGCCAATAAGCATCAGTGATGCCAGAAATCAAGAGCGTCTCCTACCCGTCTTCTGTGGGTTTGGTATTCTGGCTAATTATTGTAAATAAGAGCAGTTTGGAATGCACTCTTGAACCCAGTAACTCATGGCCACCTCTTAACTAGCTTCTAGAGGTGAAGGCCAGGCCAGCCCATCCCAAAGCGCTGCACTTGACCACCCAGATATGGCTGCTGTGGTGATTTTTGCCATTTTTTAAACATAGCTAAGTCTTCAGATTAGGCTTCATTTCCTTTTGAGAGGTTAGGCAGAGGTGAAAGGGAAAACAATGAATGTCTCTCTCAAGCTAGAAATCCTTTAATCTCCTTGGACCCTGATTTCCCGGGCCTGTGTTTTAAGTCTGAAGCCTGACTTCCTTCCACGTTATTTGACGTTCTTACTCATTCTCTAGAACAGTGGTTCTCAATCTTCCTAATGACCCTTTCATACAGTTCCTCATGTTGTGGTCACCCCCCCCCACCATAAAATTATTTTCGTTGCTACTTCATCACTGTCATTTTACTACGGTTATGAATCGGGCGACCCCTGTGAAAGGATCGTTCGACTCACAAAGGGGTCTCAACCCATAGATTGAGAACCGCTGCTCTAGAAGGTGGGACAGCAAGCACCAAACAGGATTGGTGGGAGCACACCAGGTGCTGGTGCAGACTGACTTAGCCGGGCTACACTCAATGGGGGTGCATCAGAGGGAGAGGAGATCAGTGATAATCAGCACAGGGTGACAGACAGGGAGACAGAAACCGTGACCCTGCCCACTGAGGGGGCTGCAGTAATTGCCAGCACAGTGCTCTGTGAGCGTGACACCGTATGGTTTAGTGCATGAAAACCATGAGGTCAGGGGTCCGTGGGCGTTCGCTCTTGAATTCAGAAACCTGTAACTGAAGCATGAGCGGACCCAGGATCAAAGGGTGGGAGGTAGGTTCCCCGTGGAGAAAAGACTTCCAGGTGCTGGGCGAGTTTATCAAGATGAGATACAATTTACTTACAACATCCAAGTGTATGACAGACAAAGCTTAATTCCTTCCTTCATTTAACTCTCTATCAGTGATTAGGAGTTTAAAGAATCCCTGCAATGATAGGTATTCTCAGAATGGCCTGGGGGAGGGGAGGGAACACTTGGAGTCAAATCTACTAGGGTAAGAAGAGTGAGTGAGTCCTGGGGGTGTCATTGGGCTGCTAACCACCAAGTCAGTAGTTCAAAACCACTCTTCGGGAGAAAGACAAGCCTTGCTACTCCCACGGAGTTGTACAGTCTCACAGTCCCCGAGGGGCAGTTCTGTCATGTCCTGTAAGGTCACTAGGAACCAGCATTGACTGGATGCAGTCTACGCTCATGGCACATCTCTTTAGTTATGTAGGCCTGGGGTTGGGATTTTTTTCTTGGCTGTGCATTTTTGTTCCCTCTGTACTGTCACACCTTTCAGTCTGCTCATTCCTGTGTCTGTGCCTGGCTTCAGTGCTGTCTCACGTGGCCCACCGTGGGCACCAGAAGGACGGTCATAATCAGCTGTTCCTCTCTGGGGAGTCTGCCCTGTTTCTAAGGCATCCAGGGAGGGAAGGTGTACTAGCTCACAGCAGGAGAGATTCAAGGGCAGGAGACAAACACAGTAGCCCAGAGAGCATTCGAACCTACATTTCTCCCTCTGGTATTTTAGGTCATTTCCTTTGGCTTTTGCCTCCTACAAAACTTTTGAACCAAGCTGGGTTTTTTTTTATTATTATTTAATTGTATTTCTTTTTTTAATGTGGAGTGAACATGGATGCAGCTCTATCCTGAAAAACATGTGAAAATGTGTATGAAAGTTTCATCTGCTCAGGATACAGTATTAAGTTTTAAAAAATACATTAAACTCCTACGTTTCTTAAAATACATGACCTTAGAAAAAAGGTCCAGAGAAAATGCATGCAAGCCTCAGTGGGGTTTGTCGCCGGATGACTGGTACATATGGTCGGTTTGTATTCTTGCCTCATCCTCAAATCCCTGTGATACGCAGGTGTGGCACGTAGAAAAAGACAGCGCTTGCCACCCGGGAGGCAACACACTCAACGTGCAGGTCCAGATGGCTAGCTCACAGTTGTATGTTCCCCTTAATTGCGTAAGGTCTAGTAAACCGTGCTGGGGAAACTTGAAACTGGCACAGGGCGTATCTTCAGATCATCAAGAGAGATTTGCTTCTCTTTTAGGGAGCACTGTTCCCGCCAGCTCTCCGAGCCTAGCTGTGGATCCCATTAAGTGCTGCACATTCACCCTCTACCCTTGCAGGCGCAGCACCTGCTTTATTTCACGCTCCGTTGCTCCCCGGGGTAAACCCCAGAGGCACAGTGAAATCCATTAGCGGTCCAGATGTGTATGTCCCTGCCGGCTGACCCAGCCACCCCACTGTTTATTGACAGGCTCTCAGGAATCCGATAGCTCTCAGTCGGCCAAGAAGGACATGCTGGCTGCCTTGAAGTCCCGGCAGGAAGCTCTGGAGGAAACGCTGCGCCAGCGGCTGGAGGAGCTGAAGAAACTCTGCCTGCGCGAAGCTGTAAGCAGTTAAATGTTTCGTCATGTGGAAACCTGTGCTGTGTGTGACATCACCTGTGTGGGCATCCCGGTAAAAGACAAAGGTGGGGGCGGGGGAGGCGCCAGGAGAGCACACCAGGGGCGGAGGACTCTCTTGAAACAAATGTTGCGCAGCACCCAGTCCTGTGCTGTGCCTCTTGGAAAGACTAAGCCTGAGGACTTTAATGAAAGACGCTAGTCACGAGTGTCGGAATCCGCGGCAGGAGCCCTCTAGAGGCCAAAGGAAGAGTAGCAGTGACAGGCCCTTAGGATGCATGGACCCCAGGTGGTACAAATGGCCAAGACACTCAGCTGCTAGCCCCAAGCTTGGAGGTTTGAGGCCCACTGTTACTCAAAACAAAGCAAAGCATTACAGAGTACTAAAGGCAGATGCGAGAACCTCAGAAGAAAGGCCTGGCGGCGGTCTGCTTCTGGAAACGCAGCCGCTGAGCACCCTGTGGAGCACATAGTTCTCTCTGACACACCTGGGGGGGTCCAGATGAGTCGAAATAGGCTCCCGGCAGCAGGAACTAATGCCTGGTGCCGCACAGTCATTAAAACATCTCCTTGTATCATTACAAGGATTTGGTAGCGTAGCTGATAAATGTCGGGCTGCTAACCTCAAAGTCAGCAGTTTGAAACAGCTCCACAGAGGAAAGACCAGCCTTTCCACTCCTGTAAAGAGTTCTAGCCCCAGAAACCCACAGGGCAGCCGTACCCTGCCCTGTAGGGTCTCTATGAGTCAGAATCAGTGGATGGCAGTGGGCTTGTCCTATTACACGACCCCACTGAATTCAGTGATTCTAAAAGCCTGAGTCAATAGTTGTAGCGTTTGTTTCTCTTGAGAATAGCTCACGTTTGGCTTTAGAAGTCATATTTAGTATCATTGGGGGTGAGGGATAGTCAACAAAGAAACCAGAATTTGACTTGCAAATCTAATCTCCTTAAGACCTCATGAATATATTTCTTTGCCTTTTTACTTTTGAATGAACCCTTAGCCCAGTGATATTTTAAAATCGCATGCAAAGCCATGTAACCCCTGGCCTGTATACACACCCAGTCTCAAGTTTCCCAGGGATTTTAGGGTCTAGTCCATTTCCACCTTTTTCTGTTTATTGCACAGCTCTGTGCTAGTGTTTGGACACTTAAACTTTCTAATGTACTGCCTGTCACTCTGCCCGTGTGTGCAGGGAAACGTGTGCGCGCGCATGTGCTTACACACGGACAGCCGGCGACTGGGAAGTCTCCGGAGTGAGCATGCACTCCAGCACCCAGAGACCTATGGGTAAACAACAGTTCCGAATGGGAAGCAGACAGAAGTCCCCGGACTCAGTGAGAGAGACAGGCTTTCCCTCCCCACCCAATAATAATGCTTTGCAGCAGCAGGAAGAATGAACCAGCAAGCCAGGGAGTGAGCTCACATTACATCTCAACTTGGCCTCATTACAATCTGGATTGATTTAAACCGGAGCCCGCTCCAAGCAGAACCACATTAGCACACATCCATTGCAAATCTTGGGAAAGCAGCTGGCCCAAGTAGGGAATGCGCCATCTGATACTGTTAATATTAGTGACCTTTGTAAAATATATATGTATATAAAGAGTATGCTGAACGGATTTGGGGTGGGGTGGGAAACGTAAGGACTTTGGTGCCTGCTTTTAATAATTGGTAAGGCCTTGTTTTTTAATAAAGGAAGAGGCAAACATTTCAGAAACCTCACAGACCAAGGTTAGCATGTGTTCTAAAAGTCTCTCTGCCACTCTTGAAGAAAAAAAAAGCAAAATAAGTCAACAAAAGCTCCCAACTGCATATCTTGTTGACACCAGAAAACATAACTTGAAAGGAAGAAATGAGTGAAGCAACCCCATCTGCTGGCTGACCGCTCTGCGTGGTGTTCCCACAATCCTCGCTGGGCTCTGGGAAGGGGACTGGGAGCCTTCTTTCCGAGGCCTGCTCTGTTCAGTCTGTGTAGCCGCGTCTCCCCTCTCCCTCAGCTCTCAGGATCCAGCAGCCCTTTGGGTTCCCAGGGAAACGTTGTTACCCAAATGAGGCCAAGTGGGAGCCTTTGGCAGGATGCACGAGAGGAGCCTAGCCCAGCCGCCCTGCCCAGTGCGTTAACTGGCTGCTGCTTCTCCCGGAGGAAGCTGAAACCAGAGGACCTTTCCTCAAATACTTTCAAGTGGGGGGAAGGGGTAAAATGTCACCCCCCATCTATATATAAATACATAGTTTGAAAACCACAGACCCTTTGGAGTTATAAATCAATAGCAATTGTAACAGCGCTTTCCTGTAGGTGAGCGAGAAACACCCAACGATATGCAACCCTTAATGAGCTGTGTTCTTTATGGACAGCCTTCCAAGGAAGCAGGCAAAAATGTTGCAGAGTAAACATCACTGCTTTAAGGACATTGACTCGCGTCTCTTTCAAGAGGAGAGCCGGGGAAGCCCACAAGAAGAACTGCACAGCATTTTACACTCGGATAGTGGGCCATTGTGCTCTGAAAGGCTTACACCGAGGAATGAAAAGCCCACGGGTTCATTTCCTAGTGGCCTGAAGATAGAATAAGAGAGGCCCAGGAGAGTGGCCTCCAGGCAGCCAGCAGTAGAGGAGGACAGAAGGGCCAGGACCCCCGCCCCCCCAGCCCCTATGATGCAATCAGTCAGTAAGTGCCTGGACTTCCCCCTCCTCTTGTACACTCAGCACCAGGCCACCGGCACAAAAGCCCTTTGTGTGATGATGGATTTCCCCGAGAATAGAACTGCTGACTTTCCCTGTGGGCCACCGGTGTGTGAGTCCTGGGCAGCCTGTGTTAATGTGGGTCTAGAGCAGTGGTTCTCAGCCTTCCTAATGCCGAGACCCTTCATACAGTTCCTCATGCTGTGGTCACCACCACCCCCAATAAAATTATTGCCGTTTCTACTTCATAACTGTCATTTTGCTACTGTTATGAATTGGGTGACCCCTGTGAGAGGGTCGTTCAACTCCCAAAGGGGTCACGGACCCACAGGTGGAGAACCACTGGTCTAGAGGCCCTCAGATAAACTTGGCAATTCCAGGCAAAGCCTATCTGGTAGGTGGGAGGCGGCTCTCGCCTGCCTTATCTTGTTTCTGGAAATCACTCCTCCCAGGCCAGGCCTTGGCTCCTCAGCCAGCATTTGCTGCGGACGGACGCTGGTTTGACCGGAGTACTGAGCTCCAGTTCCACCCACTGATACAAAGTCAGTCCCTCTTCAGCCTTTGCCCGGAAGGAATCTTTGTCATTACGCAGGTCTGTTCACTAGTCATTGTCATTATACTCACACAATTAGATTTCCAGGGCAAAACAGATTTCTTGTTTAATGACCTCATCAATAATCTGAATTCTGTCTCCAGCTTCTCCTACACGTCTTCTTGGGTGATCCATGTAGAGTGTTTCCAGCTCGGCCTGTTCTTTAGCAGCCGGCCAGAGGCCAGCTTAATATTCTTATCCAGTGTCTAAAGTGGTGGCAAGGCACCGCTCTGGGATTTTCCAGGAAGACCCATCCTCTCATAAGAAAACTCATGTGAAAAGTCATCGTGAGTGTACAAGGAGTGCAGGCTGCAGGAGAAGCTCGCGAGACCCGCCCTCTGATGCTGGCATTGGCCCTCCCCCTGGCACAGAGTGGGCACACAGGGGCCCCTTGCTAACCACCACAGGGATGGCCTGGAGGCTTTATCAAGAAGGCCAGCGGTCATTTTTCTTGTCGATATTTCCTCTGGAGAAGTCTTTTCCACATGTGGCCAGGCTTTCACTCCCGGCCAGTTTTGAGCCGTGAAACCTTACTTTCTGAACGACTGTTAGTGTTGCCATTTCCAGCACTGATGGGTGCGAGGGCGTGGCCCGCGGCAGCGTGTGCTGTGGACGTTCCCCCCTGACACTCTTGCCCTCGTTGCAGGAGCTCACCGGCAAACTGCCCGTGGAATATCCCCTGGATCCAGGGGAGGAGCCGCCCATCGTTCGGAGAAGAATAGGGACTGCCTTCAAGCTGGATGAACAGAAAATCCTGCCCAAAGGAGAGGTGCGTCCTTCCTTTTGTGCTGCAGTGGTCTCCTGCTCTCCTTACCTTGCCCAGGCCGCCTCCTTTCCTACAGCCGCGTCTTCACCGCTGACAAAGGCCAGCGGGGCTCCCGGGACCGGTTCTCCCTGGTAGGCTTGGTCTGCGCGCCTAAGCGAGCGTTTTCATTTTGGTCGAAGTGGCGGGCACACGAGAAAGCTCCATCCACAGCGGAAAGCCACAGGGGCGGTTGTTGCTTCCGTAAGGTGGAGCTCATGGGCCCTATTTCTAGGGGTTGTCACTGAGAGGAATGACCGAGTATATGGAACACATAAAGCGTAAGTCTCATCACCTGCTCAGTGCTCCCTCCATCTTTGCTAGTATTTGACAAACCAAACACCAAGCTCACTCATGGTGACCCCATAGGACAGGGTGGAACTGCCCCTGTGGGTTGCTGAGACTGCAAGTCTTTACAGAAGTAGAAAGCCTCATCTTTCTCCCACGCGGTGGCAGGTGGTTTTGAACTGCTGGCCCTGTGGTTAGCAGCCCAACATGCACCCCATTCACTAAAGTAGAGAGGAGGTGCAGAGTTTGGGGGAGTCCAGAATCTATCTAGAGGTGGGAAAAGGTGGTATGTTGGATGGACATGGTTTGTATGATTGGTTTTCTGGCTTTTCAAAGCTGATTGATCATCAGAATTGTGTGAGGGAAGGCAGTCCTTCTGGTGCTGGCCACATACCTGGCACTACACTTTTAAAAACCAACTCCCAGCCCACATAGCTCAGCCCCCCCAACTGGACCTTCTCACCGCTAACTCCTTCACATGTTTCAGGAAAGGGTGAGGTTAGTTCTTTGAGGATTCCGTTTGCATCCCTGTCTTGTGTAAGGGCTACTGCATATTCTCCTTCCTCAATAAAAAGAAGTGCCGCACAGTGAGCCAGCATTTGGCAGCGCCCCTCCAGAGAAGGAAATGCCCCTCTGTGGCTAGCCTGCCACTCCACATTTCTCCTGAACATGCCCTTAGCTGCCTTGTTTTGTGCTGCGGGCAGCCGTCTGGACAGATGGCAGTCAGCCCTGGGTGCTTGTTAACTAAGTGGGGAGGGTTTGTCCTGGGCTCACACAGAACTGTGGGTCAGTGTCTTGGACCGTGGCTATCGGTACAGCCCAGGCACAGCTGCGAGGTGGAGTCAGAGCTCACAGAGCAGCCTTTGTCCTTGGTCACTTGTTTGTGTCGAGACCCTGGGCGTGAGTCCATTTTGATATTTTCTTCCTCGGAGAGAACAAATGTTGGAAGGAGAATTGGAAGGAGTTTATTTTCTCCCATGAAGTTCCCCTTTAACTTTCACCTTTTCCTCACACTCTGATCCCCCTTCCTTTCAAGCTTAAAATGGTCAAAAGTAAATAAAGCCAAAGTAAGAATTTCATCCTTGATGGGGCCATCCAGCCTGGCCATTTGTACCCACAGGCAAGAATGCTTTATTCAACTAGACATGGGACGTTCTCGTGGTGTAGTGCTTACCAGTTGGGCTGCTAACTACAAGGTCCTCAGTTTGAAACCGCCAGCCACGCCGAGGGAGAAAGATGAGGTCTTCTATTTTCAGAAAGAGTTACAGTCTTGGGAACCCGCAGGGGCAGGCCCACCTTGTCCTATAGGATCTCTCCATGTGTTGGCATCGACTCAGTGGTAGTGAGTTTGGTTTGGGTTCAGTCTATCCAACAAATTTGGTGGCCTGACTCTGCATGCTTAGATCACTTCTTGTCCAACTTCAATGACTAAGAACCCCCTAGAGCAAGATGCTTGGTCTCTCCTGGCCTCACTCGTCCTCAGCACTGAGGCGTCTGTCATGAGGATAGATAGTAGGTCTGGGATTGGGTATGTCCTGCAGGCTCCCTGGTGACGGCCATGCTGCTGATCTCTGAACTTGGAGGTGCAAGACTGCTCAGAGTCATAGCCTTGCACATTCCACTGGGAAAGAGATGCAGTGGAACAGTGGACATCCTGGCAATCCAGAACATTCCGCATCCATTCACAATCCTCATGCTGTCCACATGCTGCCACCTCCCCTCCGCTGCCCCCTCCTCCCTGCTGGCAGTGTCCACACACCTGCAAAGGGAGGAGTCAGCTGGTCCGCAGCGGCCAGAGGACACTGCCCTGGCCAGTGTCTCTTCCTCTGGCTCTGCCAGGCAGGTTTCAGCAGCTACAGTATGTTCTCGCCTCAGAGAGAAAATGCCTTTTGGTCTAAGTGAGAGAGAGATGGGAAGCAGCAGCATAAGAATGGGGGACGGCCAGAGCCCTGGAGCACATGCAGGGAACGCTGGTGGTGCCCCGGTGAAGCACCCAGCTGCCAGCCAAGAGATGCCCAGCCCAAGTTCACAGTGTAGCTCCAAAGGAGAAGCGCTGGTGATCTAGTCCCTTCAAGGTGACGGCCTAGGACACCCTGTGGGCCATCCTGCTGTCTCTCGGGTCGCTCTGGTCAGAACCAGGGGCCTGGCTCCAGCAATGCCCTCCACGGGCGCCCACGCTGAGCTTTAGGAACAGGCAGAGGGGCGAGGACAGCTGACGCCTGCCCAAAGAGCTCCCAAACGATCCCCAACTTGCGGGGCACAAAATGCATGGGAAGGGCTGTGTGCAGTAGGGCAGGGGGACACGCATACATTAGTCTCCTTTCAGCAAACCTACGGAAATGAGTGCTGGGGAGGAAATCACAGCCCAGTGAGCCCGGAGCCTCCAGGTAGCTGTGTCTTTGTAGGATATGCTGGAGACGGTAGACACGAAGCCAGGTGATTCCAAAGGCTGCAGCGTGGGGGCGCTCTGCTTCTTAATGGCCATGCTAGTGCTAGCTTGTGGACCAGCCCTTGCCCCCAGAAAGCTACAGGGGTTGGGAATCTCAAATCCGAGTGTACCGGTGGTACTCACTCCTAAGGAGACACGGGTGTGATACGCGCTGTGGCACAGATGAGCCAGGACAGCATTGTGCTGAGTGGAAGACATCTGACCCAAAAGGCAAGGGCAGTACGACCCCACGGGCACCGGCGATCTCGAGCAAGCAAAAGCGTGTAGACAGACGGGTATTAGGGGTTACCAGGGGTTGAGTGGGGGGTGAGGGTGTTATTGCACGAGGAGTACCGAGTTTCAGTTCATGATGATGAGGCACATTGGGAAATAGAGTGGTGCTGTTTGCACAACCCGGGGAATGCCGTTCATGCCCCCTGAAATGTGCACTTAAAAATGGTTACAATGGCAAATTTCTTTACAGGGGGATTTCTACCCTGTCCTGCAGGGTCACTATGAGATGGCATTGACTGGATGGCAGCGAGTTTGGTTTGGGTTTTGGGGGTTTGTTCTGTTTTTTTAGTTTATCTACCACAATCATTTTCTAAAGAAAGAAATCATAGACTGAAAGAGAGAAGGGAGGTGTATCCAGGCCACTCAGCGTCCAGAGCTTTTTAGGAATGGGACCGCACTGCCACCATGGCAGGGCCAGGCAAGGCTGGGGTCAGACAGGGTCCGGAGGCCTGAGGGGCAGGAACGGGGTGTCTCCTGCCTGGCATCCTCATCCCCCCTCCCCTCTGGCCCTCCCACAGGAAGCCGAGCTGGAACGTCTGGAGCGAGAGTTCGCCATTCAGTCCCAGATCACGGAGGCCGCTCGCCGCCTCGCCAGCGACCCCAACGTCAGCAAGAAACTGAAGAAGCAGAGGAAGACGTCCTACCTGAATGCACTGAAGAAGCTGCAGGAGATTGAGAATGCGATCAATGAGCACCGCATCAAGTCGGGGAAGAAACCCACCCAGAGGGCTTCGCTGATCATAGACGGTCAGTGCGCCCCTACTCCCCACCCCCGGGAGCCCCCATCCCCCTTCTGCCCACGCGGAGGGCGGAATTCCCTTTCCAGCCCAGCTCCAACTCCCTACTGGACCTAAGCAAGTCAAAGAACGGCCCTCTGCCATAGGCCTAATGCCAGACGCACCGCACAGTAAAGTGCACACAGACCCACAGATGAAAGGGCGTGCGTGGTTAGCCTATCATTATCCCTGTTTACTGCGCCCTGGAGAACCTGCAAGGATGCGCTCGCTGCATGCGCTTCTCAGCCTCGGGAGATCCAGCCGAGTTCTCCTCACTTGGGGGGCCCACAGCAGCAGCACCCCGCCCTGGTTAGCACTTCTCTGCCCCTGGGTCTTGTCCCAAACTCTCTGCATGGAAGTGCCTCCATCTGGCGCTACCCCTGGGAGGACAGGGTCAGTCAGGGGCTGGACTTTGGGTCGTGACTTTATTTGGTCACTATTAGAAGGAAATCCCCCCACATCCATCAATGAGCACAAAGCCCTCCAACCTGCTGTAATTTATCCCTTTGTCCTAAGTCAGAAAAGTCTTCCAAATGCGTATACCACGCATTCTGCCATCAGTTAGGCAAGCCTTCGTGTGCACAATATTTTCTGGAGAGGAAATTAGGAGCAGCATCTTTCCATATCTCACCCTGTTGTCCTTGGCCACAGCTGTGTAGTACATGTGCACGTGCACGCATACGTGTACACACACACACACACACTCACACCCCAGAGGGACGGTAGTTCATCCTGTCTTTCTTTGTCATCTACCCGGTTTTATAGTTGGCCCTGCCCTCTCAAAGGTACTTGAGGGTTCCTGGCGCTGAAGGGACAGCAGGAGCACTGGACAGAGCTGGGGCGGGCAGCACAGGGTGGACATGGGCCTGGTGTGCCACAAGCCCAGTGTGACTCTCCTGGGGCTGCCAGCAGTCTGGTCCTCAGCCAGCATGCATACCAGTGGCTGACCCATCCTATCCAAGCTTCTTTTCAATAGCTCAAGAGGATACTCCTCACTGAAGTAATGTTTTCATTGCAAGGACTCACTGACTTGGAAACATCATTAGAGTTCGCCTTGGCTCATTAGCATGATAGATAGACAGACAGCTAGATAACACAGACACAGAAATATACATGTGTGTTTGTAGAGAGAGAGATACATAGATAAATAACATTTCAGGAGATAAATGCTGAGCTTAGACTCTGAAGACGCAGGATCCTGGCTTTGCCTCCAACCAACCCCTCTTCCCTCAGTGTACCTCAGTTTCCCCAGCAGTTAACAAGGGAGGATGGTTTCACTGCCCGCCTCTTGGGCATGTTCTCATGGTTAATTGAATGGCGTCTATAAAAATAAGTTTCAGAAAGATAGAGGCTGTACTTAGCCTGCTTGTTTACTCTAGTAATGACCTAAGGAGTTTATTGAGAAGCCACTGAATGCCATCAGAGCAAAGAGAAGGACCTACCCTAGTTTCGTATTTGTAGGATCAGTGGCCCCGTGCTTGCTCTGGTTTGGTTGGTACATGCCCTGGGTTTGTGCTGGGACGATCATTGTTTTCAGCAGAATGGGGCAGCTTTTATGTGGGATGTTCGGCGCGACCGCCTGGCAGGAGGGAGCGCAGGCACAGAGATGGGAATGCTGGGGCCCACTGCAGTGGCGGGAGGCGGGAGGCATAGCTCATGGCTCACTGCAGGGCTGCCAGAAGAAATGCCCAACCATACGGTCCTGGGTTCTTTCCGATGAGAAAGGAAAGGGTGTAGAGATCAGGGTTCCCCTGTGAGATGTGTTCAATGCACGGACCTTTGCCTTTTTTGTTTACAGACGGAAATATTGCCAGTGAAGACAGCTCCCTCTCGGATGCCCTTGTTCTTGAAGATGGTAGGTCACCAGTGTCCTGCTTGACCACTTGGAGCAGGTGTTGAAACTGACCTGCCCCTGCGTGTGGTCCGGGGAGAGCACATGTACGCTCACGTGGGAGCTCCGGCTTCGGTCCCCAGCCAGTGCACCTCACGGGGGCCACCACCTCTGTCCGTGGAGGCTTTCAGCCAGGCAGCGTTTGTTCCCTGTTCCTGGGGTCACCACGAGTCGGGGGCCAACTCGATGACAACTAACAGTAACCTGGGGACAGTCCATTCTAAAGAGAGGCCAGAGCTTGGTCAAGATGACAGTCCCAAGCGCTCTAATGCCCTGCCATTGACCAGCTTGGTGGTGGCGGAAGAGGAGGGGGTGCTGCCTAGCCACATGTCTATGGGGATTCTGAGGGGTGAATGGTGTTTTCCATGCATACTAGCCAGCGCCACCTTGTAACTAAACACGGAGTCTAAACACCGGGCACAGTTTTCTCTTGAAGAGTTGTAATTTCTGGAGGAGAGAGGTGGAAATTGATTTGGGTCACCCATTGGGTGTGGCCAGAAACCCCATCACGGAGGACGGAAGGCAGAAACAACACAAACTAACTCTCAGCATAACAGGCTGGGTGAACACGAGAGGGGCCTTGCCCTGCCCTGCTGCGCAGGCCGGGGAAGCTGTCTGCCTGTGTCTCGCTGGACTTTAGAAACCCAGTAGTGACCGGCATATTTGCTTGGGAAATGCTTAGAAAAACAGAACTGGCCCCAGCCAGTTCTTTCCCCAGGGGAAAGAAAGAGTCTGAAACACGGAACTGTGTCTAAGAATGTTCCTGAGGATGTGGAACCGAAACAAGGGAGGCCAGGGCTCTAACTATAGGGCAGTGTACTGAGCGGCAGTCCATTCTTTTGCCCTGTAGGAGAACCTGTGGCAAGTGGCCATTCCATCGGAAAGCATGAAGGGCTCCCCAAGTCATAGTAATAATGATCACTGCAATAATCATCACCATTGCCAGGCATGCGGGGATTGCCCCCTGGGTTCTTTGCCTGGTTGCTGGGCTCTGCTAGTGGAAGGCAGACAGTAATATTTTTACCCTCTGCTTCTTGACAGAGTGGTTACAGGTTGGGCTGTTAACCTCAAAGTCAGCAGTTCGAAACCACCTCAGGAGAAAGAAGAGGCTGTCTGCCCCCATAAAGAGTGACAGCCTGGGAAACCCACGGGGGCAGCTCCATCCGCCCTACACAGTCACTAAGAGTTGGACTTGACTCGATGCAGTGAGTTTAGGTTTTGGTTTGGAGCTTCGGTGCACCATGGGAGCAGAGAGGCTTGCGGGCCAGATGGCGATGGAACAGCCGTGATCCTGGCCAGACTGGACAATAAAAATCTAGTGAGGTGCCTGCGTAATAGAAGCGGTAGGACACAGAATGCAGTCTCATTAGCTAATTCTGCTGTAACGTCTGTGATTGTAAAATGTCTTCCTCGGGGCCTAGACCCCGAGGCCTCAGAAGAGGCTGACTGCCTCACTTTGTGCTCTAAACGCCCTTTCTGGAGACTCTTTCCTTCACTGAAGGGAGGGCAAAGGAGGAGAGCAGTGGTTCCCAAAGTGGGGCAGTGGGTTATGCATTGACTTAACTGCCAAGATCAACAGTTCAAAATCACCAGCCACTCCTTGGGAGAAAGATGAGGCTTTCTGCTCCTGTAAAGAGTTACTATTCTTAGAAACCCATAGGGGCAGATCTATAGGGTCACTGCATCTGAGTGGGCTCAATTGTACCGGATCGATTTGGGTGGGGGGTGGGGCGCGGCTGTAAAAGCATATACCTACACTTTATCCTGGGTTATGGGCTATGCCGCAAAATGTTCATTGCCAGGGGGATGTTAGAGTCTCTCCAGGACCAGCAGCCTCTCCCATGCGCCCCCCTCATCCCCGTACACACACACACACACACACACACACACACACAGACTCACTGAAAGGCCCTGCAGTACCACAGTTCTGTCGGCACCTCACTCCCCAGGAGGCAGGCAAAACCTTCTATTGTTTGAAGATTTGTATCCCATCCCCTTCTCCAAAGAATTTAAGGCGGTTGCAGATTTAAAATATCACAGAGGAATGCCTTAAACGACGAGAGGTGAGTCTTTGGGGAAACAATACAGAGGGATCACAGGCACCACCAGCAGACACCCGACACTAGGCTCTCATTCATTTTTCTTACAAGTGTTCATTCCCCACCAAATGCGTGTCAGCTAAGCACTGAACAAAACGGAAAGAGACCCCTCTTTCAGGGAGCTTAAATTGCCCCCAAACTAGACACTTGGTGTCTATATAAAGAAAACACACAATGTCATGGCACCCACGTTTGCTGCAGAGCCTTGGTGCTGCAGTGAGTTGAGCACTGGACTGCTAGCCACAAAGGTAAAGGTTTAAGCCCCCTGGAAACAGCCATGGGAACCAGGAGGCTGTCTGTTCCCATCTAGAATCACGTTCTCTGAAACCCACAGGAGCAGTTGTACCCTGCCCTACAGGGTCCCTATGAGTCAGCATCAGCTTGAAGGCAGGTTTAGGGTAAACCACACCCTGTCTGTCCCTCCCACCCCCCACCCCCATTCCCACACACACACAATGTGCCCTTTGGAACAGACTCATCCTTTGTGTATGGTGCTTAACAAAATTCAGACTCCACTCCATTCATGTCTGATCAGCAGAGAGCTCTCTCGTTGGATTAAGTTCCTTCTGCTTTGCCCTGGCTTGCCCGGGCCACTGGGGAAAGAGTCCAAAAGCTTCTCAAAAGCATACATTTGGTGTCCAGTAAGTGGCAGGCCTGGTGGGCAGGATAGACCTTCTACCTTCTTCATTTCCGCTCTGTCCTCTCTTTTGCAGAAGACTCTCAGGTTACCAGCACAATATCCCCCTTACAGTCTCCTCACAAGGGACTCCCTCCCCGGCCGCCGTCGCACAATCGGCCCCCTCCTCCCCAGTCCCTGGAGGGCCTCAGGCAGATGCACTACCACCGCAACGACTACGACAAGTCACCCATAAAGCCCAAAATGTGGAGCGAGTCCTCTTTAGATGAGCCCTACGAGAAGGTCAAGAAGCGTTCCTCTCACGGTCATTCCAGGTGAGCAGGGGTGGGTCCACAAGGCCAAGTGAGGTCAGGGTGGACGCTGGAACAGACCAGATGGCTGTCCTAGGTCTCCCCTACAGATTCCTGTTTTCTCCTTCCTGTGGGTCCCCCTGCCAGCAGCACTGTGCTCACAGCGCCCTCTGCTGCTGACCCCGCTGAGGTGCAGGCACATCGTACGCTTGAGGTTTGGGCTCACGGTCTGCGTGTTGGCAGATGGTTTTAAGCTTGACAAATTTCACAAGAATGATCAGGAAATCTTGGGCTGCACCGCCCCAGCACGGAAATGGGGAGTCCACTCATGTGATTCCCACGGTGGTTTAGCGCGCAAAGCCACCGTCCAGCAGCCCTGAGGGGGCCGACAGCTGGCAGTGTAGCCACAGCATTATGGGCTCCTTATGGGAAGGGTCTTTCAGAAGGGAGTTTTCAAAGACTAAATGAAATGCTCGCTGGGCATGTTTGCTCCCTCGCTCTGTTTTTCTCATTTCCTTTCGTTAAATATCCCACAAAGCTTCAAGTGAATGCCTGGACAGGTTAGTGTTGGTCCCTTAGAAAGCAGAAGCAGTGGTTGCGGCCAGGGGCTTCCCTGAACCGTCACACATGCCTGCTACAGAGAAGGATCATAAGACTCTCCATCCCACCTTGGGGGGGGGGGTGGCAGGAGAAAGGTGAAGGACCCAAATATGAGGAGGTGAAGGGGGGGGATCCTTGACAAGCTTCCAGACACCAAGGTTCATGTCCCATGGCCAGTCAACTGGTGGCGAACAGGTGCCATTTTGTCTGAAAGTGACCGGCCTGGCTTCCTTTGGTTTGCAGTAGCCACAAGCGTTTCCCCAGCACGGGGAGCTGCGCCGAAGCAGGAGGGGGCAGCAGCTCCTTACAGAACAGCCCCATCCGAGGCCTCCCGCACTGGAACTCCCAGTCCAGCATGCCGTCCACCCCAGACCTCCGGCTTCGGAGTCCTCACTACGTCCATTCCACGAGGTGAGTGCAAGCCTCCCGGCCCTCTCCACACACTGCTGGCCACAAGGACTCACAGCTGCACCAGTGAGGTGGGCTTTCCTTAAAAAGCAGCAGAATGCACGGCCGAGCCGATGGCAGTAAGCCCCCTGTAGTCAAGAAATCCGTCCGTGAGCCCACAGGGACCTGGGGACACAGGACATGAAAGAAATGTTCCCAACGAAACTGGAGGCCTAGAGGCCTAGTCAGGATAGCAAGGCAACAGCTCTGGACCCTACCCACCTCAACTGAGGCCTCCATTACTACTAGCCTTCCACTAAATGCTTCAGAATATAAACGTATTACCCAGAGAGGGTTAGGCTGCAGCGGCTCACACCTTTAATTGTCTCAGACAAAAGAAAGAAGTAAAGCCAAAGTCGTCATTGCGTTTTATCAAACACCCTCAAAGAGGCTTTCTACTCCCATGCGGAGTTCAGTCTCGGAAACCCACAGGGTAGTTTTACCCTGACCTATAGGGTGACTGAGTGGCATGAACTCAATGGCAGTGAGAGAGAAGGTCTCTCAGAGGGCAGCTGGTGTGAGCTTCCTCAAGCTGGACCATTCTCTGTGGGGTAACATTGAGCTCTCCGGGGAAATCAGTTCATGCAGCACATATTTATCAAGTGCCTTGGTGGCACAGTGGTTACGAGTTGGGCTATGATCCACAGAGTCAAGAGTTCAAAACCGCCAGCCACTCCATGAAAGAAAGATGGGTGCTTTCTACTCCCATAAAGCATTATAGTCTCAGAAACTCACAGAGGCAGTTCTACCCTGTCCCGTAGGTCCGCTGTGAGTGGGCATCGACTCAATGGTAATGAGTTTGGCGTTGTCTGTGCTCCGGGTCCCCTCCTAGGTGCTGGAGGCCCTGCAGTTGGCCTAACAAACCACCCCCTGCTCTCATCCGACGCACATTTTCAAGGGAAATGTCTGTAAAGCAGGGTAGGGAACCTTTTTCCCGCCAAGGCGCATTTGGATATTTCAAACGTGGTTCACAGGCCACACGAAATGATCAACTTCACAAGTAGCTAGTTCAAACATGAACTCCTCACCCCTAGCAGGATGGCTGTACTTGTTCTCTTTGGGGAGGTGCGTGATGTTAGCTAGTCTGGATGATTCTCGGGGCCAGAGGTAACCCACCGGTGCCATAAGGAAAGAGTGTGGCATCGAGTTCACAGGAGTGACTCCGAGCAGAAAGGCTGCCGGTTTGAAGCCGGGAGACAGGCGTGGCAACCTGCTCTGAAAGCTCACAGCCCTGCTCTGCATACATGGGTGACCCTGAGTTACAATCAGCTTCTTGGCAGCAAACAACAAACAACATACAGCAGCAAGGAAATAAATGTCAAGTGAAGGCCAGGGGTAGGGAAGTGACCAGAATTAGGGGCTGTAGAGTGAAGGGCAAGAGAAGCTTAGAAGCATCTGAAGGTCGAATTAGAGCAGAATTGGGGTTCTGAGGTGGGTGGTGGCCTGGAAAGAGCCTTCCCTATTGGCCAAGAGCAAGAATAAAGACGCCAGTGGCCAGTGTGGCTGGAAGAGTGGTGGAGGCGGAGAGACTGGGGGGTGAGACCAGAAAGGACCTTGAGGATCAGGACACGGGGACGTCGTGATCTAGAGCGAAACAGTCCCAAGTAGAATTCACCTCAGCTGCTGGGGCCCTGTGAATGTCACTGCGGCTCAGCAGCCAGCAGCATCGTTGGCCCTGTGATCCAGGTGCCTAGGTGGAGCTCTGGGTGCAGGTGAATGGACTGGGGTATAACCAAAGGCGAGCTCTGGTGTTGGCGCCATCCTGTGCATGCGCTCCGTGTTACACATCTCCTCCGGGAGATGGCTATGTACTGACAGTAGGTTTTGAAATAATAGGTGGATGAACCCTGTGAAGGGCCTGTCTGGGACCGGGAATTTCATATGGTTTAACATAATACGAGGGTGATGGTTCTATTTATTAGCTCTCTGTGTCTAGACCAGCGATTCTCAACCTGTGGGTCGCCACCCCTTTGGGGGGGTCGAATGACCCTTTCACAGGGGTCGCCCGATTCATCACAGTCGCAAAATGACAGTGATGAAGTAGCAACAAAAATAATTTTGTGGTTGGGGGTGCCCACCACATGAGGAACTGTATAAGGGTCGCGGCCTGAGGAAGGTTGAGAACCACTGGTCTAGACGAACCTGCATCATCTTAGAAAGAAAGCCCTGGTGTTGCTCACCCCACCCAAGAAAACTTAAGATCCCGTGTTTCTCAGCTCTGCTTCCCGCCCCAAGGCTTACTCCTTACAACCTGTCTACACGTGCGAACAGCAATGAAGTGTGTGAATTCTTAGGGCAACTCTGCCATGGAATCATAAGACCTAGACCATTTTCTGGAGGGTTCAATGTCTATTTTTTTTCCTTAAGTCCGGTTAGCGGTGGGTGCCTGCGCTCCCCGCCCCCACCCACCCGAGCCGTCTCCCCGCAGGTCGGTGGACATCAGCCCCACGCGACTGCACAGCCTCGCACTGCACTTTAGGCACCGGAGCTCCAGCCTGGAGTCCCAGGGCAAGCTCCTGGGCTCCGAGAACGACACGGGGAGCCCCGACTTCTACACCCCAAGGACTCGGAGCAGTAACGGCTCGGACCCCATGGACGACTGCTCCTCTTGCACCAGCCACTCCAGCTCGGAGCACTACTACCCCGCCCAGATGAACCCCAACTACTCCACGCTAGCCGAGGACTCGCCGTCCAAGGCCCGCGAGCGGCAGCGGCAGCGGCACAAGTCGGCCGGCAACCTGGTGTCCTCGAACTCGGGGAGCATGCCCAACCTGGCGGCGCGCGCCGGCGCGGGCGCGCAGGGCGTGTACCTGCACAGCCAGAGCCAGCCCAGCTCGCAGTACCGCATCAAGGAGTACCCGCTGTACGTGGAGGGCAGCGCCACGCCCGTGGTGGTGCGCAGCCTGGAGAACGACCAGGAGGGCCACTACAGCGTCAAGGCGCAGTTCAAGACCTCCAACTCGTACACGGCCGGCGGCATGTTCAAGGAGAGCTGGCACGGCGACGAGGGCGACGCGGTGCGGTTGACGCCGTCGCGCTCGCAGATCCTCCGGACTCCGTCGCTGGGCCGCGAGGGCGCCCACGACAAGGGGCGCGCCGCCGTCTCGGACGAGCTGCGGCAGTGGTACCAGCGCTCCACGGCCTCGCACAGCCGCCTGTCCCACACCAGCTCCACCTCCTCGGACAGCGGCTCCCAGTACAGCACCTCCTCCCAGAGCACCTTCGTGGCGCACAGCAGGGTCACCAGGATGCCCCAGATGTGCAAGGCCACCTCAGGTGAGATGCGGGAAAGGCGACTGGGAGTGTGGTCGGCCGGGGTGTGAACACGTTAACTTCGGGCGCCTCCCTATCAGACCGACCGTGGGGCTTGGGGTCAGAGACAGCCTAACCCCCCCACCCCAACCCCAGCTCTGCTTCTGCGGAGGAAAGAGCTGGATGTGGGTGACGCTGGCGAGGCTGGGGGGTGGGGCTGTGCGTCAGACCCTAAAGATCCCGCGGGCCTGTTGCTGCTTTTGCGTCCCTGGTAGAGAGGACACCCAAGCCAACCCCCAAACCTTTCGCTGGGGGGCAAGCTTGGCCCTCGAACCTGCTGGGTAGAGGGGCACCGCGGGCTGGATGCACGTGAGACATCCTGAGATTGCCCTCTTTAATTGTGAAATGTAACCCATTGCTGCCCCGTCAGTGCTGACTCAGCAGGCCCACAGGGCGGGAGAGAATGGCACAGGCATGTGGATGTTCCCGTTCGCAGACTGCCTCCTCTTTCTCTCACAGAGCAGCCTTTTTTTTCTGCCAAGGGCCATTTGGATATTTCTAACATCATTGGCAGGCCACACACCAAATTATCAGCATATGCATCTCATCAGCTCACCCTACTGTGATGGCCAGAACGGCTTCCCTGGTGAGGCGTATCGTGATGTTCCCTAGTGCCGCTGAATGCACGGGCCTTACACGTCAGATGGACAGCCCAGCACCCTCCTCCCCAATCCCAGCATCTACAGAACTCTTTTATATTTAGCCAAAGGTGCACTTACCTCTTCTCTGTTGGGTAACCTGACAGAGGAAAGCTGGTTTAGGGATCCGGCTTGAGTCTTGAAGCCCTGAGATGGTGCCGTGTCTCTTTCCCCACCCCCTGGGGCAGCTGGCTGAGGAATGGAGTGCCCTAGCTCTGCCTTGAACTTTAACTGGACTGAACTTGAACAGCCTGGGTAACTGGGCTTCTCCCTGCCTGTCCCCTTTCAGGAAGGGTATACTAGAGCCACCAAAGAGCTTTATTGTTAAAGTGCTTTCCCACTCTGCCATTACCCCCCTTGAAATTTGATTAGGAAACATACAGCCTTGTCCTGGAGAACATTGAGGAAGCTGAAAACAATGTGTGGAGGGAAACCCTTCTCCTGGAGAAGTTGCATGTCCTTTCCTCTCCGAGAAATCACAACCGTGGATCACTGAGCATGTCCACACTCCACCAGGAGTGGGAACACTGGAAAGCAGTAAGGAATTCTGCATCAGAATTCCTGGAAAAGGAGAGTGCCGGAGGCTGTGGAGGCATGATGGGATAGGAGTGTGAACGTCAAATGAGGCCAAGACAATGGAAGGATGTTGAGGAGAGGGCTGTTTAAGTGAGGGTCCAGAGCAGAAAGGGAGTGACCCTAGAGAAGAGAATGGGGGAGCTGACTTTGGGGTGCCAGGTCTCACCGTCTTCTGTCTGACAACCCTACCTACTTGAGTGTGAGCGTTCACTGGCCAGCTAACAAGCCCCAGGAATACCGATGGTCCTGTCGATCGTGACGTACCCTGGACTTCAAGTCCTAGAACCGTCTCTGTATCCCTCCTTCACCTGCACAATATGCTAGGGACTTGCCAGCGGCTCCCAGGAAGATAATGAAGATTGGATGAATACAAAGAAGAATCCCCTGGGGTCTAGTAGAGGAGCTGGGGCTTTGTAAATGTGAGAAACAGAACAGCTCTGCTCCGTAGAAATTATAGTACTTACATCATTGGAAGATTTACTTGAAGCAAATCTTCAAAAATAGAGTAGAGCCTAAAACGTTCTGAAAAGCTGCCTCTGAGTTTCACTGATGAAAATGATCCCTTTCCAGGAAAGCCAAGGATACATTTAAGTAGGATTTATTGCTAAAGAAAACTTCCACCTCAAATCTTATGCTGCTCACATCAAAAAGCTTCTACTAGTGAGAGCTGGAGGTGTGGTGCAGTACATGCTGAGCTGCAAGGTCCGCAGTTCAAAGCCACCAGCCACTCTGCAGGGGAAAGATGAGGCTTTCTGCTCCCATGAAGATTTACAGCCTCAGAAACCCACAGGGGCAGTTCCACCCTGTCCTAAAGGGTCGCTACAAATCAGTATTGACTTTATGGCAGGGAGTTTTTGAGAAAGGTTTACAGCCTCAGAAACCCAAAGGGAGTGAGGTCTTCCCTGTCCTGTGAGTTGGAATCCACTGAAAGGGTTGGCGAGTTAGAGCTGGGTGGAACTATTTCAAGCCCTGCCCCACTTGAAATTTACTCCCCCAAACCAAACCAAACCCACTGCCACGGAGTCATTTCAACTCACAGTGACCTGTAGGACAGAGTAGACCTGCTCCTCATGTCTCGGAGATGGTAACTCTTTACAGGAGTGGCTGGAAGTGCCCTTGCAGTTAGCAGTCCAATGGTAACCACTGTGCCACCAGGGCACCTTGAAGTCTACCACAAAAGCCACTTGTCTGCCTGAAACAGCAGAGAGCAAGTGCGAGAAACTTCCGTAAGGGCCTCTAGTCATAACGAAGATCATCATTGTAATACACCTGTATCACATCTAAAAATGCCGAGTCCAGAGATGAAAGCCCTTCCTGCACTAGCCTTCAAAGCCACCCTCAAAAACGGGTGGCCACAGATGACTGCTGGGCAGGCCAGGATGAGGCTGACCACTCCCCCACAGAACAGGGAAGTGTTGAGGAAACGTGACTGGGGGGGTTAAAAGCAGGGGCGCTCTCCCACAGCGACCCTGCCTGGGAGTCCTATCTCTGGACATGCTGATCCTGGCCACCAGGTTCAGATGGTCCCGTGAGGTGTTGGCTCCTTCACTGTCTGAACCCCTCCTTCTCTTTCTCCATACCCACACCATCCACAGCTGCCTTACCTCAAAGCCAGAGAAGCTCAACGCCGTCGAGTGAAATCGGAGCGACACCCCCGAGCAGTCCCCATCACATCCTAACCTGGCAGACTGGGTGAGTGTCCTCTCCAGACTCTAATCCTCCGCTTCCAGGTCCTAGACCCACCGTCAGGATTCCGGGGCGGTTAGCACGGGGCAGGCATGTCTGTGAGTCTCACAACACAGGGCTTATCGGCCAAAGAACGAGGGCGGTTCTCTCTCATCAGGCCTAACGAAGCAAGGACTGTGTACCTCAGAGGCTCCCAACGGCCTTGACCTACTGTCCCCTCCTCGGGGGAAAAAAACGGACTGGGTGCCCCAGGTGCTTTTACATTATAACATATATAAAAGCTTGTACATAAAGCTTTCTCCTGCGCCCCGTCATCCAGGATCAAGGGTATATGTCTGCTTTTACAGCCCCCCAGATTATCCTAGTGTTGCCCCTCCGCCACAAGAGGTGGCATTGCCCACTTTGGGAAACCCTAGTATAGATAAAACTTTCCTCTTTGTGGAAGAAGCACCATGAATTAGTTATCTCCCCACCCCTCCCCATCGTCACCTCTTTCAACTCAAACAAACAAGCCCCAACCCAATGCTGTCAAGGTGATTCCTACTCCTTGTGCCCCGGCTCATGGGACAGGGCACCCTGCCCCACCGACTTTCCCAGACCACAAATCTGGATGGACTGCCTTTCCTTTGTCCCAGAGAGCACCTGGGCCCAACGTCTCACCCACTGCGCCACCAGGGGGCTTCTATTTCCTGTTTCCAACAGGTGGTATTTTCATAGAAAGCAAGAACTCCCGGCTTGGTTCCTATCTGCAGGCACCTTGCACCCTACCTCTACCAATTTGATTAGAATTTGGGCACTGTCTCCCGCATCACACAGTGACTCCTCAGCATTTGATTTGGGCACTGACCGTGCCCACTAGATAGACTTCAGACTGTCAGGCCATAGCATGCGCGGGGAGCAAGAGCACTAAGATAAGGTACAGGCTTCTCAGGGTCCCCAGGCTCTCAGTCCCGAGGTGTATCTGGGGGACCAGCAGGAGGTTCCGTGCTTGTTCCCCATCGACAGACAAAAGGCGTTTATCACAGACCGGGGTTTCTTTTACAAGTGCACCATGCTGTGACTAACGAATGTCACCGAATTAAACACTGAAAAAATGGAGCAAAGAGCAGAAGCTTTGGTTATATGCTTTAGCACAATAAAACTTATCTTTTTAAAAAGAATGAAGTAACGTGAGACCTTTCGACAAAGCTGCTCCTCAAACATAGAACCCAAAGTGGGTTCCTTTTGTAGCTCTCGATGTAGACTCCATGCATGACAGTCCAGAGAACATGAAGAAAGTTGAGATCGAGTAACAGTCAGGTGGACACACCTCCCCTGCTGAGCCTCTGAAACAACTCCCCTCACCCTGACGCCGACTCATCGTGACCCTACAGGACAGGGTGGACCTGCCGCGTTGGCTTTCCTAGACTAACTCTTCACAGGAGTAGAAAGCCCCATTTTCCTCCGAAGGAGCAACTGGTAGTTCCCAACTGCTGACCTTGCAGTTAGAAGCCCAGGGAATATACATCACCACCGCTCCTATTGGTTCTCTAAGGTGGATGTTAGATTCTGTCAACCCCTGTTAGTTAGAGGAGTAAGGGATCACTTTACTTTACCCAGCCCTTTTGGCACAGCCTTGGTGGATGGGGCTGTCTGAGTTCAGCAGCAGCAGCACCAGAAAACCACAGGGCCCCAGTACCGACTCCACGGCCTGCGTGGCCGGCTCCTGGGTCTGCATAAGTGTCTGTGGTGACTGTGGACCAGGTTGAATGGGGTCTTTGTTTTCTGCCGAAGGAAGGGGTGGTGTTAGGTGCCGTTGGTCAGCTCCAATCCACAGTGACCGGATGCACATCGCATCTCACTATGGGGAAGGAAGAGGAGCTAACTATGATTGACTGCCTTCTGGGCACTTGAGGGCTGGGGAGCTGCTTCTAACAGGCATCAGCTCCTCTCACCCTGACGGCAACCTTCAAAGACACCAGCTATGTCTTCCACTGTAGAGCTAATGCTCAGATGCAACTCGGTGCTGGCTTTCCAGCAGCAGTACCCTAGACTTTTATTTCGAGGTGCCTCGATGTGGACTTCGAGGTTGCCCCTGGGAAAGGTCACCATCTGCCCTGGCCAAGGACTCTAAGATCTTGTTAGAAATGCAGTTGGTAGATCCCAGCTGTAAGGGCTTGGGGTCCACGAGTCTTGCTCCGTGGGAGCCACATGAAAGTGTGTGTCTGTGGCACTTCCAGTGGCCCACCCATCCCATCCAGAAGAGGAAGCTCAGGTCGCAGGCCAGCCCTCCCTCTGGAGCCACTAGATATCCTGGGCCCTGCCCACTCTCACGTGACCCAAACAGATAATGACGTCGTCAGACTGACGCCCCTCACCTGCCCACACACTCAGCCACTCTTGAGGCCTGCCTGGGTTGCACAAGGAGAGCCAGTGAGGGTTGGAGGCAGATTTCAAACCAAAAGGTATTTTTGACTGCTGATGCAAAACTTTTTCAGAATGAGCCAAGTCATTAGTAGGCAGTGCCTGTCCTGTGGGATGATGAGAAAATGTTCCAGAATGGTGAGAAACCTATAAATGATAGATTGACTTTTTTAAAAAATGCCCAAGCCTGCCTTCTTAACAAAACTAAAGAGGTCCTTCGGCTCAGCCATGGGGGTGATGGCGTGGCCAGGTAGCAGATCGGACTCGTCACTAACACTCGGATGCGCTGGTCTTCCAGTATATTTGTCGGCTGGTCGTCGTATCTGTGTGGGTTTCTCTCTTTAACATGACCTCTCTTCTCTTCCTTCCTCTGCTTTCCTTTGTTCAGAGAAGCAACAGAAAGCTCACCCATCGTGGATGGGTCTGAGTCTCCAACTCACCAAAGTACTGATGAATAGAGGTATTGTAAGGGATGCTTTGTTCCTACAACCCTTCCCCTGCCCTGTCTGTGAGAGCGTGCGCTTCCAGATGTCCTGCAGATGTGTTGCCTGTACGCATGTCAGAGTATCCAGAAGGAAGCGTGCGAATGGTGTGCAAGCCATTATTTTTAGATCCTGTGTCGAGCTACATGTGGAACTGTATGTTAATACATGTGTTTCTATGTCCACCAGTACATAGTCCCAAGGCTCCTTCCCAGAATAGCCCTGAGTCTGTTTGGGGCCTTCTCAGATGCTCAGACGTGCGGTAAAGCCAAATATCTGTAGACATTTCCCCAGGGTTAGGCTTCAGTGTTTGAGGAAAGCACCGCATCGCTGCAGCTGCAGTGTGAAGGCTGAGCTGGCTGAGCGGGTCTGGAAGCACCTGAAGATCACTCAGCAGCTCACCCGTGTTCTTAGTGACAGCTGTGTGCATGCCGGGACACCACCGCCCTGGCCTATGAATCACGTGGCATGGATGTTTCTGGAAGCCCTGCTGTCTTGGTAAAACACAGCAGCCCTGGCCTGCTTCCTGCCCTCTGAGACCTAGCAACGGATCTGATTTTTTTTAAGGCACTGAAATTAACTAGCATGTCCAGAGATAGCTCGTGAGCTATGGAGACCAGGAAAAAGCAGAGGGCCATGCCACCGAGTCAGTCCGACTCAGAGTGACCCGCAGGACCGGGTTGAACTGCCCCCTGGGGGTGTCGGAGGCTGGCGTCTGTTCAGAAGAAGCAGAGTGCCTCATCTTCCTCCCGATCGTTGGGTCAGCAGCCCAATGCTGCCCACAGCGCCACCAGATGTCAGTTTTTTCTAGGAGAAAGTGGACCTCCGTTACGTGCCCAGGAACCTGGAGGCACCGTGGTGAAGACACTGCACGGTTCAGTCCCAACCTGTCGGCCGTTCTACGGGAAAAAGATGGGGCCACCCGCTCCCTTAAAGGTTTCCAGCCCTGGAAAGTCTGCGGGATGGTTCTCTTCTGTCCTGTAGGGCGGCTTTGAGTCCAAACAAACATGGTGGCAATGCGGGACATGGTACTCCGGGGACTGTGCTGTCCGTTGGAGTGCCTGCAAGGAAGAGCTTGAGAGTCTATTTGGAGGAATGAGAGGGGAGTTAGAAGCCACCCCTTGTAGGCATGAAAGTGCTCTAAGACATGGACAGGAAGTACTGACAGTGCCGAGGCAAGAGGGCCCACTCCAGAGACTGGTGGGGAGGGGTGGTGACTCCTGGGGAGTTTGAGAGGCCCCTCCAGGGCTAAAGCCCAGATGCAGGAACATCTGTGGGTGTTCAGAGAACAGCAGAGTCAGATTTTGCTGTAGAGAAGGAGCCAGACGTCAGCCCAGAAAGTAGGCTGGGCCCAGAGCATGACCAGTTGGGAGAGCGCTGGAGAATCCTGTGTTCCGCATCCCCAGAACGGGCACATGTGGGGTTAGAGAGGCAAGAGTCCAGCCAGAGTGGACACCTCATCCTCTGAGGCGAGGAACAGAGATGAAAGGGAGGCTTGGAGGCAGAGAAAATTAGAGCTGGAACCATGCCTGTGTTGTAAGAGCAACATTTTGAGTAGAAAGACTCCCCCCTTCCCTCCCCACCCCCCACACCAGTATAGAGGGTGTAGTCATCTGCCGAAGGCCATGGTGCTGGAGGCTGGAGTGGGCACTCGACGCTGGGGGGGGTGCCGGGGCAGCTGTGGGAATGCAGTGGGGTCAGCCTGAAGTGATTAGATGGCAGGAGGGTGAGGGGGTCGGGGCTTTACATGGCCTGTGAGTGCCTGGCAAGCCTACACACCTGTTGTCGTCATTGCTGTAAGTGAACTGGACATGTGAGGTCCGAGGATAACAACATTGCTCCCATGTACCAAATTCACAAAATGAATTTATAAAACCACTTTTGCTCTCAAGTTGATCCAGACTCCTCAGCCACCCGCTAAGACAGAACAGAACTGCCCCGGCAGGTCTGCGAGGCTGTTGACCTTTACGGAAGCAGGCGGCCTCATCTCCCTCCTGCAGAGGATCTGCTGGGTTTGAGCAGTCGACAGGCAAACACGTAGCCCCTGCGCCACCAGAGCCCCTTCTTTTTATAAGACTTATAAGCGGGAACTGCTTCCTCCACGATCTTAGCCAGTCGTTGGTTCTGGCTCATGCCACAGACGTGACGAGAGGCCGGCACCGGCCCTGTGCATAGCACTGAAGGCCCCAGGCGCCGCTGCTGGCAGTGAGGTCTCTGGGTGTGAACTCCCGATAGAGGCTCCCAGTGGAAAGCCTGCCAGGGAGTGGCCAGGAGCAGACCTGGAAGAGCCTCACTCCCACCCACGGTTGGGAGACTCACAGTAGCAGCTCAGGGAACACACCAGATCTGCACCCTGTCCTGCCTCAGGTTTCGAGAAATGGCTCACATAGCTTTATGAAATAAGCAACCACAGTGTTTGCCCAAAAGGCTTATGATTGAAAAGGCATGAAAACCACAGGCATAATCATCTCATCGCCTCCCCTTATGCGTGGTTCAGAGCTTCACTTGACCCATAGGAGAATCCTGGGGTCCATCCAAGAGCCAGGCTGCATCTCCACAGCTGGTGGACAATTGCAAGGACCCTTGTCCCACAGCTGCCACACCCACTGCTTCGCATTCCGTGGCCTTCCCCTGAGTCTTAGATAGCCTCTAAAACAGGCTCAATTGTTGCAACGGTACTTGTTTGTGTTTACATACCTTCTGAAACTGTAACAGTTTCTTTCTGAAATGACTCAGGATCCAAGGCACTGCTTTTCTGAGAGATTCAAACATCCTTTTGACAGTTTGATTGACATATAATTCATATATCACACAATTCAGTGGTTTAAATAAATGAGTTGTGCAGTCTCGAACATATTTTATAATCTTGGTGTACACATTCTCCGGGACGGTGTGAGGCGCTGCTCCTGAGAAGATTGTGTTTGGGAAGCTCTGGGTGGAGCAAAGGCAGGTTTCTCAGCGCTTTCAGTGGAGTGCTCCAGAAGATAGGCTCCTTCAACTTATCTGCCTGGGGAACCTTTTCTGATGTTGTCAGTGCATCTTTCAAGATGACTCTGAGAAACATCGCTGAGGTGGTTCTTTATAGCCTCAGAAACCCCTAAGGGAGCCTGTCCCAAAGGGCTATCAGAAGCAACCTTTCCATCAAGGTTTTAAGGAAAACGGCTTAGGTGTGCCTGTGCTCGTTAGCTGTCCAGTGCTTTTATGACCGTGCCATCAAGACTATAGACTCCAAAACTAAACCCAATGCTGATGCCAACCCATAACGACCCTAGAAGACAGGGTAGATCTGCCCATGTGGGTCTCAAAGATTAACTCTTCAAGAGTACAAAGCCCCATCTTTTTTCCCAAGGAACAGCTAGTGGTTTCGAACTGCTGACCATGTGAATGGCAGCCCAATGTATAACCAAGGGCTCCTGAGCAACCCTGTAGAACAGGGTAGATAACAGCCCCACTGGGTTCCCAAGGCTGTTTAGGAGCAGACTGCTGCCTCTTTTCCCCCTGGGGTGGCTGGTGTATTTGAACTGCCAATCACTTAACCACTGTGCCCCCGGGGCTCCTTAGCTTAGGACAGAGAGAGTTTTGTGGAGGAATTCAAGGCTTTTTTTTCTTGTAATGATTTTGGCTTCAATATACATGTGATTGCTGACATTCGGCTGCCAACCAGGTTCACGGTTCAAACCCATCATGACTCGGGGAGAACCACCTGTGTCCTTAAGATTACAGCCCAGAAAATCCTACAGGGCACTTCCTTGCTACACACGGTCACTGAGTGGAACCAATCTGACAGCATCCACCACCGACAATCCAGAGTGAGGAATCCGTTCTGCCCCCCAATGCCAGAGTGGTACATGTCTAAAATAGAAAGGGTTAGGCATTGGGCTGCTAGCTGCGAGGTTGGTGGTTCGAACTCACCAGCCACTCCAAGGAGGAAATGAGACTGCCTGTTGCTGTAAAATCCACAGCCTGGAGACCCAGAGGGTCCCGCTGAGCCAGAATGCGTGCCGTGTCAGTGGGTTGTCTAAACTCCGTAGGTTTAAATGTTGCTTATTTTCTCCTGTTGCTTTCCTGTGTATTTTAACAATGGTTTGACATTCATACACAATGCTTAGCACTAATATTTGGTGCTCCATTTATTGTCATCACAAGACATTGCTGTGTAGAAAAAAGTGCGCCATCGGCTCACTGCCATCAAGTTGCTTCCAGCTTACCTGGACCCTGCAGGATAGACCAGCACCCCCTTGTGGGTTTCTGAGGCGGTACAGCTATGCAGGAGCAGGCAGCCTCGCCTTTCGCACTCAGGGGGCTGGGAGGTTTGAAATGCTGACCTTGTGGTTAGCAACCCCACAGACCTATGGGTGAGGAACCCACTACCCTACCAACATGGACTTAAAACTGAATACCCCATTCAGATGATCAGCTCAGTTCCACTTTGGAGAAACCTTGCCAGTTGAGCGGTCCTTCCGTACGGACTCAAACTCAACTGCCAGTGAGATGACGCCAACTCATCCACCTTAGGCAACAGGGAGAACTTCCTCAGGGAGTTTCCGAAACTGGACTTCTGCATGGGAGCAGAGAGCCTCATATTTCTCCTGAGGAGCCACTGTTGGATTCGAACTGCTCCTGTCAGGACTAACTAGAAATTCTGATTGCCCTGCATTCGCTTGGAGGGCCACATCTGAATGCCCTGAATGCCCTGCATTCGCTTGGAAAGCTCCCAGCTCAAGCACATCCCAGACCAGTCACACCCGGATCTCCAGCTGGGCCCAGACAGCGGGAGGGCCATGGAGTCCCGGTGCACTCTGTGTGCGGGCAAGGCGGCGGAGAGCCACCACTGGCAGTAACCCTTCACCTGCCTTTTTATTCTTCACAGATGCCCCAGGTTTCGTGACATGTCCTTTCTGTGAGCCTTTAAAATGGGCACCATTGTGAGCTGCTGCCACGTGGGCCCCGATGCGCAGCGACCTCGTGCATAGTGGACCCCTGCCCGGTCCAGCACTGTCCCCTTGGCCAGTTGCTGATTGGGCTGTTCTGAGCCAGAGGGTCTCCAGTGGCTGGTAGTAGATTACCAGTTGGGCACCTTCAGTCCCACAGATGCCAGTGTCCCCGGGCATAAAGCCCAGTTCCTTGTCAGGGTTCAAGTGTAGTTGCTCAGGGCCCTCGATAAACCAAAACTCAGACCCACTATTGTCAAACCCATCCCAACTCAATCCGCCATGGAAGATGGAGTGGAACCCCCACCCCGGAGTGGGGTAGGGTGGGGTTCTGAGCATGTAAATCCTGCAGGGTGCAGACAGCCTCTTTATTATCCCTTGGAGCAGCTGGTGGGCTTGAACCGCCAACCTTGTGGTTAGCATCAACACATAACCCACTCTGCCACCAGGGCTCCTTGGGTTCTAACTAAATAGGTTAACACCTCTGGGTGCAGGCCTCCCTCCACTAACAAGCCTCCTCTCCCTCTTGGATCCCTACAGGAGCTACACTGATAGCTGTTTCCTGGATTCTTCCCTGTATCCAGAACTAGCTGACATCCAGTGGTATGGGCAAGAAAAAGCCAAGCCTGGGACCCTCGTGTGAGCCAGGACGGCCTCCGTCTTACCGCCGCAACGCCATTCTGAGATCACCTCACTGCCTCTCATTTGCCTTACCCAGATGCACTGTCAGCCCGCACCAGCTCCGCCCTCAGCACTTTCTCTCGCTCCCTCTCTCCTGTCTCCGCATCCCCTCCCCCCGACAATAACCTGACTGAGGAGACATTTCTGGAAGGTTCCGGTCCCACTGTGTGTCCCCTGGCTCTCGTGCCCACAGAGAGCCAGACACCAATCCTCAATGGCACCTTGGTAGCTCCCCCCTGCCATGACAGCCCCCAGGCAAGGGGGCCTGGAGGAAGCTGGCTGGCCTCCAGATCCGGTGGATGAGTGGCACGCGTAGAGAACGGAAGGGGCATGAAGCACAGGGTGATGCAGACAGACAATGAGGCTGTGTCCAGCCTGCCACCTTGAGGCCACCCCGCACGTCAAGAGGAGGCGGCCTGTGGGCTATTCGGTTTATACCTGAGATCTTCCTCAAGGAAACGCTTGGGAGGGACGGGTGTCCGGAGACGTGGGGAGAGAACAAAAGCAAGCGAACACATCAGAGCTGCACCGAGGTTCACAACCAGTTCTATGCTGCCAAAGATGAAAACAGATCAATCACTAAAAACACGATGAAGGGGCCAAGAGGAAGGCATTCTTTCTGCAATGAAATTTCTCCCCTACCTTCTAAACTGCTTCTCCCTGCCCCATGCCACCTTTTCCCCGGCCTCGGCCAGCTCCCTTTTCTCTCAAAGGCAAAGATGGGGCATGTGGGCCGGCACTGCCCACTCAGCCTCGCCAGTCCAGACAGGACGCCAGGCCCGTGGGGCTCAGCCGGGTGTGCTCGCAGCCCTGGTCTAGACTGGTGCGTCAGCCACGGCCCTGCCCCAGAGCTGCTTCCTCCTGGATTTGAAATAAACTCAAGGTGACGATTGCCAAAAGTGGTTCTCTTATCCTGACAGCAGCCAGGAAGAGTGTATCTTTGTTTTTTCCGTGTGTGTGTGTGTGTGTGTGTGTGTGTGACAAGGTTTGTTTTGTTTTGTTTTTTTCCGGGGAAAAAGCACATTGCAGTCCATTTGAGTACTTGACTCCTGTGACTCATTTTATGTTTGTTAGAACTTGTGTGACCAAGAGCTCAGATCTGACTTCTCTGGGCAGCCAGTTACTAACGTGTACCTTATTCAAAGAACCTCACGATGCTCTTCAGTGGTAAGATCGTACCTGTGTGTCTACGCTAGCAGGCAGAGCAGGGCCGAAAACAATGCCTGGATGTCGAAACCACCCACGGCCGTGATGTGCCACGGTTGTCTGCCGGACCAAAAGAGAAGGAAATAAAAATGCGGGAGCTGCGCGTTTACATGTGTCTTGAGCTGCGCTTAATACACAACTGGAAAGCCATCTTCAAAGGCCTCAAATACTTTTATCATAACTGCCAAGTGCACAATCTCAGATGGGTCATTCGAGGTGACGCACACAAGGGTCCCCCTCCCAGGGTTGCTGTGCGCGGTGCAAAGGGGTGGGGTGGGGGGAGGACACACTTGTCGCTTGTAATCACTTCCTATCAGAAAGACATTCAACACCAGGGGCAGGAACGAGGGCAGGGGGGGGAGGGGGTTTCTGTGGAAAAGCAGAATTGAAATTAGTTTTAGTGTCATAGGATTTTCTTTCTTAACGTATGTGTGCTCCGAGAATAAGAGTAGTCTCTGCCAGACCAGGAGGGTGAGAAGGGGCAGATAAAACGGGCGGGATCGCAGCCAGTGGATGTCTCCAAGGAGCCTAGCCCTGGTCTGCCCCCCTCTGAGTGGCTGGGTGGGTAATACTCGTTTGCCAGAAGGTTCCACTGTGACGACACTTTAGGGGCGAGCCCCTCTGGGTCAATACGAACCGGTTACGTCACTAAATGATTTGAGGGGGTGATGAGGCGGCGGGGAGGGGCAGTCTTTTTGGTTTGTTTTGCTGTAAAATCGGCTCTGTGCCACCACCTGCAGTTTGTCTTCCTTCTCCGATTCTGAGACATCGAGCACAGGCCGTTCTTTCCCCTCCCCAAGAAAGACCGGCGGGTCACTGGGCTGAACTGGGGGCAACAGGGAAAGTCAAGAGGGAAACAGGAGGGGACACGGTGACATCCATGTAGAACCGTTTGGAATTAAGTGTGAAGTAAACCTCTTCACGGCCGCTTGCCCACTTGAGTTAGCAGGAGCGAGAGAAGTCTCTGGCAGTGAGTTGGTGCATGTTTTGGTTTCGGGGGGCAGAGGGAATGAAGTGGGAGCGGGAATGACCATTCAGACAAATGTCAGGATAGTCTGGTAGAAAAGACAGAGATTAAGTAAAACAGGTTTTACTGTTTCGCTGCGTTCAGTTCATACAAAATGTACATAAAGTGTTGGTCCTTTGAGACTGACACGCTGAATTATCAATGTGGTGGGAAATTATATAGTTATTGTAAACAAGCACTTGCAAACTCTATAGATCCCTATTTCTTTAAAACAAAAGAAGATGAACTATGAAGGCCCTGCTCTGACGTAGGACCCCTGGTGGCACGCTGGTCAAAGTGGCCGGCTGCTAACCGAAAAGGTTGGTGAATCGAGCCCATGACCGTCTCCACGGAGAACAGTGTGGCCATCTGCCTCCGCAAAGATTTACCACCTTGGAAACCCTTGGGGGCAGTTCTACTTTCTTACAGGATCGCTGTGAGGCGTACCCACTTGAGAGCAGGAGGGGGGGAAGGGGGTTTGACATAAAGACCCTATTGGATTCTCTGTCTACGTCTAAGAAATTTCCTGTTCCACCGAAAGACCCGTGTCAACACGTGCCTCAGGCTACGTTGTGTGACAGTTGAGTTTTAAAACTTTTTGTTTTATGATATGCAAGTGAGTGTTGAAGCTGGTAAAATTCCAATTTGTTTTCACTCAGTATTAATTTAGTTCTAATGAGAGCAAACCCAATCCAGGTGCTATCAGCTGATGAGTTACTGCTTAGTTAACTAGGTGTAAAGTTTTACAAATACTTTAATGTCAATAGTTTATGCCGAGTTGTGTAAAATGGACTCTAGTTTAATAATGGGGGCGGGGAAACACAGATTAGGTGGCTCCTGGAACGGACTGTAGCGCATGTAAGATGATTTTACTGGATTCTGTTCAACTGTAATCAATGGGAAAAGATGTATGTTGTAGAAAAAGTCGCAGAATTAAAGAGAAATCTGCTTTTAATTTATTCTTTTTGTATTAAAAATTTGTATAGTACCTTTACATTTTGCAAAACAGTGTTGTCAACACTTATTAAAGCATTTTCAAAATGAAGAGATGCCAGGGGCCTCTCAGCGGTTGTTTGTGGGGGTCTGCGTGGTCTCT